GGTTAATTTCTGCTGCTTGCTTGGAATAAAATTTCTTGTATTTTATATTAAAATGATAGGCAAGCAATTCTGTTAAAAGCACTGGCACTGAACGTTTTGCTTCATGCAGTCTATTTTGCAACTTTTTTAAAATGATGTCAATCCCGAAAATCTCGGGATTAGGAAAACTTAATCCCGAAAATTTTGGGACTGAAAAGTGGTCGGGATCCCGATTTTCGAGATCCCGGGATCAAATCCTCTATTGGTGAGTCAGTTCTCAAATTACAGATTAAGGTATGTGTTATTTGAATTCTTCATAAAACAACATGGACATATTCAAATTTTACAAAAATTTTAAGCTCTTACAAGTTGTAAATAAAGAGATTTGCTGAAAAGCAATAATGTTAAGGGTGATAAATAAGCAGTCAATTTATGTTAATGATTATATCACAGGATTTCCTGTTTTAAAAATTCTATCCTTCTTTTCCATTTGATCTTTATTTTCTTTAGTTATTTTTAAGTTTTTGTAAAAAAATAATAATTGTTTTCTATTTTGTGGTAATACAATTCTCCAATAACTGTTATATTCTACATTGGTTTTTTACCTTCTAATACATTTTTTGTATTTGCAATCAATTCTAATGAAATGTTTATAAGCAACTCCACTAACTGATTACTTTAAAACTAGATGATCTGCCAAAATATTGGGCTATAATAAGGCTAAATTAATACAGATATCCTTGTATAACACAGCAGTTATGTTCCAAAAAAGTGCCATGTTATGTGCATCCATGTTATATGAAACAAAGGACTAATGCAAAACATGGGGTTTGGTTCCAGAAGTTAGTAATGAAAAAGAATAGTATACTTTTGCTAAGAGAAATATGTTTATCAAAGTAACCAATAATTTAATTATTGATTGGAAATAAGTAACAATTACAATTAAAAGTACTATATCATGTGTTAATATTAATTTTAGTTAAGCACTAATGTTTTCTTTTTACAAACTATCGTCGTTGTCTTAGATTTTTTGTTCATCTTGATCAGCAACATCATCATTTTATTTATTTTTTCATAAAATCTGATATTTTCATTTGCTTTCTTTTTCTTAAAAGACCTTTATAAATTTTGTTATATAGAGCCATGCATTTCTGAAGTTCTTCCTTAAACTTTATGCTTCTTTGAGTGGAAGGATCTGTATTTAGAAAGTAAAGTTTCAATTATTTGGCCAAATTTATCCCTTCTCATATGCTTTTTAGGATAAAATTTTGAGCTTTAGGATTTTCATCTATGCTATCATCCTCTGAATTAATTTAGTCAATCTCTGTTACCATTTTGACCAGATTTACTTTGTCAATCTCATCTTCTTCCAATAGTTCTTGAATATCTTCAAGATTCATATCATCAAAATATTCTCCTCTCACAGGTTTAGAAAGTTTTATTATTGCTTCAGTTCTGTTTTCTGCTGAATCGATTACATTGGAGCTTTGAACTGACTCTGGCCATAACTTTTTCCAACAGGCATTTAGTGGGTTGTTCNATAAATCACAAATATCTTTTTAAAAAATTCATTTTTACTAAAATATTTTTATTCACATATATCAACTTTAAAAAGATTTATATTATGAATATCACTTTCAAATTTTGAGCTATTCATTGTTGTTTTCATGAGCATTGGCATTTATTTTTTTATGTAAAAACTTTGAATTGTTCATTGAAAGTAACAGTTTGGGCTGAAGTAAAATATTTCTCAATAAAAGATATAATCATTGGTTTCATGGTTTGATCATTATTTTTATTTTAATACTGCACAGTTAATTTATTTAATAGTATTTTTAAGAACTAAGAACATTTTTTACTCCAATTTATTGCTATTTTACAGAATAAATTTTTGACTTTGTTACTAAAATTATCCAAGAATAAAATTTGTCGAGGGTTGGTTGTTATATTTAAGAACCAAATAATAATTAAAAATAAAAATATTTTTTCCAATATGACAACTTTAAAAAAGTTTAATTTGAAATTTATAAAAACAAATCAACGACTGCATTTATTTTTTAAAAACAGTAAAAATTGAAGAAAATGGAAAAACAAGATAAAAATGGAAGATGAAAAAGAAGATATACAAATTTCATTTCTTAAAAAGTAGAAAATAGCTTTATAAAGAAGTATTAGTTATGAGAAAGTTAAAGAAAATACTGGAGAAAAATAATTTTGACTTTCATATATTAAAATATTGGTTCCTGATATAGAAATGATGTAGCTTGGTAGATATATATCAATGTTATTGTGATATCTGAAATGCATTTCACTCATATTTGTATTGCTATAAAGTATATCAGATTTGAAAAAAGAAAAAGTTGTTTCTCAATCAGAAATGTTTTAATCATTATTGAAATGGATTGATGATAACAGATAATTCTATTGTTTGTTTGTTAAATGTTTAGTATAAAGATTATCTTATTTGGATATTTCACTCTCTTTATAAAATGAGACAGTATTAGTTTTATGAAGATGTTATTACTAATACATTTAAATCATTTTAAAATATGAGCAAGAACAAATTCAAATTCCTTTGTGCATAATATTAGTGATTAATCTTAGTCACATCATTATTATTAATGATATCTTATTGTATATTATGCACTGAAGATGTTTTGTTGTATTTGATGTTGTACCCTTTATTTACATTTCTTTAGAATAATATGTTAATAATTTTATACAATTAGATTTGTCTAAGCAACTTAAATGTTTGATCAACATTGTATTTGATGTATGTGATTAAAGCAAATAAACTTTAAAACAAAAATTTTTTGAAAACTTTATCTACAAAAAATATTTAAAAAAAACAACTTATTTATTTTCAATTAAAGTTGAAGCTTTCTCACAAAGTCGAGCTAATAGTCCAGACATTTGTAATAAAGACTGAACTCCTTTGACAATTTTCATGTGTGTATATCCAATTTCTTTGATAAATTCTAATTTTAAATATTCTGGCATGGAATGATTTTTACAGACACGAAAGACATTTGTAATAATATCTTCTGAAGCATATCCTAATTTCCAGAGATGAGCCATTATCTTATAAGCATCATCTATATTAGCATTTACACAATGAGTCAGCATATCTTTAATTAGCAATGGATGTGGTTCATCACATACCTGAAATATTTAAAACATGATTACATAAAAATGAAAATTCTGTCAGGAAATTTGATTTGATGTAATATTACCTTAAAAACATTTTCACTAGATACATGGCCAAATCCTGAAAATGTTGACTGTAAATTATTCAGAGCCTGAAATAAAATTCAAACAAAAGAATTTCTGTAAATTTTAAGTTTCTATAAAATATTTTGGACTAGATTGATTTAGTTTAAAACATAATTAACATTAATATTTAGTTGAAAGAAAAACTGACACCTGAAGATGACCGAATTGATTCTCGTTGAAAATTGTTGCATGTTTTTTGTAATTTTTTAATCATAACTTTCAACTTGATTCACTTTATCATAACAGTTAAGTTAATTAATTAATATTTATCATAACAGTTAAGTTAATTAATTAATATTAGTTAGTTCTAATTTTAATCAAATGAAAAAAAATAAATTTCAGTTTTAAGTAGTACAATTTAATAGTAGTTTGGTTAATAAACAAACAAATCTAGAAGATACAGAAAATTAAAAAAGCCCTAATTGTAAAATTATAAATGACAAAATGAAAGTTAATGTCAAAATTTCTTTATGATTAATACATTATTATTTTATATTAAGTTAATCTTAACACATTACAAGCTGATTTTATCAAATACAGTTTCAACAGAAATTTGATATATACAGTATCTTTGTCTTTTTTCTAAATAATAATACTTTAATGTAAATTTTCTACCCAGTGTACCCAGCTTTATGCTTTTAATATCTACGAATAAAGTTTAAAAATTACCTGTCTCATATCACCCTGTGCTGTAAATACTATTGCTTCTAATCCATCATCTGTATGGCTGACATTCTCTTTCTCACATACTTGCATTATTTTTTGTAGAATTTCTGCATCACTTAATTTATTAAAACGAACCATTGCACATCTTGATTGAATTGGTTCTATTAAATAAAAATTCATTTATTTATTATTCAGTTTGGTTTTAAATTGTAATTCAAATTGTTATTATATAATTATTTCTCTAACTTGAATTTAAACTTAAAAATATTTTTGAGAATATCTTTTTAAGTTTAAAAATAATAAACTCAAAATTAGAGTGTATTTTTAACTGTTCTAATATAGAACAGAATTATTTTTCTATGTACTGTACATGAATCTGTGCATATATGAGAGAGAATAATAGTTTATCTGAATTCTAATAGGACTACATATACTAGTGCCAACTAAATTAGCTTTATCTTAGATTGCCTTCTATTTGATAATACAGATAAAATTTATTTTTTTATCTCAATAATTTCTGATGTTTTGTATACATCTAGTTAATTTAACATACCAAAATTATACACTGTGTCTATCTATTACAATCCAAGAGAGATGAAATGACTTAGGAACTATAGTAAGTTGGTGAAAATTTAAATCCAGCATTTGTAAACAAGTTTCCAGAATCATGAACCAAAAAAACTATTCTAAACAACAAAAGTAAGATAATTTCTTAATTTCTGACTACTACTAAGATCTCATTTCCATAAAAATAATTGATATTCTTAGTAATGATGAACAGATGGTTCTCCCATCATTTCAATTGAAACTTATGGGACTTATCCAAGAATTGTATTTTTTTTACCAATTTCTTACCCCTCTATTATATTCTCTTTCTCAAGAATTCAGCTATCAATAATTGAAGAAATATCTAATTTGAACTTTTTAAAATTTTGTAATTGATAACATCTTAATTTTCACTGATGCAACTTTATGTCTGATCTAAATTTGTTGTACTTTGTTTTTATCTTTGAGTTCAATAATACATTTCTCTTGCTTGTAAGTATTTAATGATATTCTTGTCTTGAATTCATTTTACCGTAGATATTGTTCAGAAAGGACAAATTGAACAATGAAGTTTTTAAATTTTCTGCTCAATTGAATTTTCAAAAATCATGTTAATTTTCTTTTTTCAATGTAAAAAAACACGAATAAATAAAATCATGCTCAACTTTATTCTCAGTTACATCTTTTCTCATATCAGTCTAATAAATTATTTTATATATTGGGTTGAGCAAAAAAACTTATTCAATTTTTTAAACAAAAATAATTATCAAATTTTAAAGTTAAAAAATTATATATGAATGTTTGTTTTCTAATGAAGTTAATCACTTTAGCTCATCTATTGGATATAGCTATTGTTCCACATGCAAAAATTTCTTAGAAACATTTTTTGAAGAAAAGTCCTCAATAGTTATTCACAATGCAACACTTCAATAAACTATTCTGGAGAGAATGAGATAAATGTTAATCTGAAGGTGCAAGCTAAAGATTGGGAGAATATGGGGAGTGGCACAAAACATCTCACCTAACTGCCAATAATTTTTCTCTACTGGTCAAAGATGTTTGTATGATCTAACATTGTCATCACAATAGTCACACACTTCTTACTAATGCTGGCCATTTTTCTTTGATGGCTGCCTTTCAGATTATCATGTTGAGTCTCTGTATAAAGATCTGATTTTGAGGAAGCAATTTATAGTAGATATTTCCTGCTAATTCCATCATATGCTGAGTATAATCATTTTTGGATGTGACTGGTTTTTGACTGTGTTGCAGGAGTCAATTTACTTTCTCCTCAATATTTTTTTGGCTGCACATTATCATACACAATCCAATTTTTGTCACCCGTAATTAGTTGCTTCTAGCAATGATAAATATGGTTATGTTTCAGCAGCAAATCACATAAATATTCTTGGATAAGTCCCATAAGTTTCAAGATATTGAGTGAGCAAATCTATGTGATTTGCTCACTCGATCAGATTTGTCTTGCTCAATTGATGTGGTACTCAGGATATATATCATGCTATGATGTTTAAGTTGTGTAAATAGCCAACAACCAATCCCAGAGCAATAGCTAACACTTCTACTATTTCCTTGGTGGTGTTACCTTGAATTAATGCAGCAATTGCATCATCATCAACAAATGAACAAACTTTTTGATCAACCCAATAACTATAACAATAAAACTTTAATTTTATGTAATATATTAAATAATTACCAATGATTTTGTCTGATGTATTGCATGCTAATGCAAATCTAGTTGTTTTAGAATATATTTCCATTGTTCTTCGCAATGCTTGTTGAGCTCCTTCAGTCATACTGTAAAAATATAAATGAATAAGTTTTTAAAGAATTCTGTAAACTTTTCTAATAAATAAAATATTTTGATTCTGTTATTGATTGATTGTTTGATTATATTTAACTACTAAATATGACAATAGTTAGACTTTTTTGATTTATTATTATTAAACCACAATTAAAATATTTTTTCTAAATTTCAAATTTAAGATTTGGACTACTTTAGAAAATCTTAATTTTTTTATCCATAAAAATCTTGTGTAAATTTTTTATGGAACAAGAAAATTATATAAATTTACATCTTTCATTTATTAGAAATATCAACCTTTTGAAATTTGATTTTATGCATGAAAAAATCTAATTTAGCCCATGTTTTATTAGTCTTAAATAAGGTCTTTAAATTTCATTTCTTTTCATACATTGATATGCTATGTTGATGATGCATCAATATGCTATATCAATGCATCATCAATTACAATAAACATTTGCCAAAGTAAAAATTTATGAATCTACCTTTTTGAATCTACTCTATTGTTTTTTCTATTCAGTAAACTTTATAAACTTTTATGAAATTTTTCTTTACATCTGAGATTAATTATAAACAGAAAATAAATCCACAACATATAATAATGTGTATAACTGTAATGCAATTACTTCTAAATTATATCATTATCAAATATGCCAATAAGTTTCTTTACTTTTATTTGTACTAACTGGTAATCTGTTCAAAATTTTTAAACCAAGTATTAGTAAGCTAAAAATAATTTTATATAATTCTAATTTTTTTTATAAAAAAATAATCACAGTCCTCACTTTATTTTATCAATCCAAAAGTGTAAAATTTTGATCACAAAACATAACAGAAATGGCTTTTGAAATTTTATCATCATTAAAAAACAATTATTCTATATACAAATTTCAGTTAGAATTTTTTCTTGTTTAAAATTAAACCTGTCCAATAAGCCAAAGATATATCTGCTGTATTACAATGTAATGCCCTACATCAGAAATAATAACAAGATATTAACAAGGACCAAATGCTTTATTCTGTAATAATAAAAAGGTATCACAAATAAAACAAAATATTAAAGTCCCAAATGAAATCAAAACTCCATTCTTCTTACAGTTCATCATTCTACTCACAAGCTGTTCTAAGCCAATAATTCTCTACAAATTCAAAACAAATTCTTACACCCCATCTCAGATGATTTGATTTCTCTTTTGCATAAAATTTGAATTTATAAAAGATAATGTCCTGACAGTATTATGTTTCATATTTGTTTTTATTAAACAAAAATGTATGATCAAATTAGAATTATATTTAATGTATTATAACACACATACTATAACACATCTTTGTCCTTTAGAACAAAGATGTGTTATAGTATGCAATCTAAATATGCTTAATAATTTGATTTTTAATGAAACTTTTCTTAGTGAATGATAAAAAATAAAAGTTATAATTTCAAAAGAATTTTCAAAATTGCCTGCCACAATACAATTTACTTTGGCCTGAATGATATAACTCATGAATGATAAAACTCCTGATTTTTTTTTTTTTTTATAAATTAAAATCATACAATTTCTTAATATATTTAATTTTCCCTAATAAAGTGAAGAAAAGAAATGCATCCTATACTTCTACACTTCTTCTTTATTAGTACACATAGTACAGACCCGGTACCGCATTGGCACAACCGGGACGCCTATACTTCTAAAGATAGGATTGTATTGATAGATGTCACATGATATGTATTCTTTAAAAAATAATTTTTATACACTTGGAATATATAAAAATGTCCGCTGACTACTAATAACTATTGTATAATTTGGTCTATTGTTCAAAATTTCATCACTGAATTAAACAAAATTACATAGAATTATTTTCATTTGGTATGAATTGTGTCTATGCAAAAATACATAAATTAAAACAACAGATTTTTTTTGTAAATATTTATTGATAAGTTACCTATCTGCTTCATCCAAAATAATAATTTTATGTTTTCCTTTTGGCAAAGTAACTTTTTGCTGTGCAAACATCTTGATTTTATTTCTTACAACATCAATTCCCCTAAAAATAAATAAAATTTATAATAATTATTGTGATATTTTTTGCAATAATTTATAATATGATGAAAGATTAAATATCATGTAAAACAGCAAAAATAAACTTTATAATGCACTATTGTTATACACAATAGTAATGTAAAAAAAAAATTGTTTGGATGATAAAACTTGGATGAACCAATTTTTTTCCCTGTGTATTTAAAGTATCTTATTATATCTTCACTAATCACCACCTTGTGAAGGAGAGTGCTCATGGCAATATTCACCACAAGTTAAATCCAGAGCAAGATTTAAATTGTATGTTCAGTAAAATCAGTATTCACCATGCATTAATTCTAGATTCAACTTTTAAATCTGAATCATTAATTCACCGCTATTGGTGAGTAGGGAATTCGATCCCGGTCCTTATTTCTAATCCCGGGATTTCGGGATTATACTTAGTCAATCCCGGGATCATTTCGGTATTGAGGGTTAATAAAAAATAAGAAAATCTTACAGAAATCAAATCAAAATTTAGACAAAAATCAACATATTTTACAGTATACACCTAGCTAATTTAATCACTCTAACTAATCAGACTCAGAGTCAGACTAACCAGACTTAAAATCACTCAGTCTTCATGTTAAATTTATTCTTTTTTAAGCATCACTGAGATCTCTTTAAACTCACATAAATTGAAAAAACCTTTATGTAACAAACTATGCAAATAAACGTTGAAAATTAACAAAAATCTCTCTTAACATCGACTAAATAGACTAC